CCCCAAAACCCCAAAACCCCAAAACCCCAAAACCCCAAAACCCCAAAACCCCATATATCGGCTCATAATTGATAAGTAGAAATTTCAAAGACTTATAATATTTAAATTACTTGGGTTTCCAACCAATATGTCCTCCATCAAAAGACCAGGCTACGATCACTTGCTAAAACTGATCATCATCGGTGACTCCAGTGTAGGCAAAACGTGCATTTTGCTGAGATTCTCTGAAGATAATTTTCCGACGACCCACATGCCCACAATCGGTAAGCCCCTTCACCGTTTACTTTTCTAACAGAATGCTGAAATGAAGCCCAATAACCTCTTCTTTTAGGAATCGATTTCAAGATTAAGTCTATTAACGTAGAGGGACAAGTTGTAAAGCTCCAAGTGTGGGATACCGCCGGACAGGAAAGATTTAGAACCATCACCCAGACTTATTACAAGGGTGCCATGGGCATTATCCTCGTATATGATTGCACTGAAGAAAAATCTTTCTCTAATATTTCCAACTGGATGAAGCAGATCGAACAACATGCTTCCAAGGATGTCGCTAAGGTTCTAGTAGGAAACAAGGCTGATAAGGAAGACAAAGTTATCGATACTGAAACAGGAAAGCAACTTGCTGACGAGTACGGTTTAGATTTCTTCGAGACCTCTGCTAAGACTGGTTTGAATATTCCAGAGTTATTCGATAGCATTGCCAGAACTATTATCAAGGACAAGAAAAAGGCTCCATCAACATCTGGTAGCACCAGGGAAGGTACCCTTACAATCGGAGGAAAAGGAAAAGAAGGAGGTAAAAAGGATAAAAGTGGATGCTGTTAACTCAGATTTCCATAATTCAAGAATATTAATCTCATATGATTAGTAATGATTTCATTTACCAAATTCTCGGGCCACACAGCCAGCTTTTGGGTATTTATCAGTTGGCTCTCAAAATGTTGGGTTCAACTTTAGAAATAAGCCACGGGGTTTTGGGGTTTTGGGGTTTTGGGGTTTTGGGGTTTTGGGGTTTTGGGG